CCCATCCATCCGTCCGTCCAATCAGTCCGTCCGTCCATCTATTGGCCCACGTGTCAGTTCTTTACATCTGATCACGTGGTGGGTTACCGAGCGGTCTAACCTGTCTCAATACAAATAGCTAATGGTCAGGAGTTCAACCTCCACCAAAGCCAACATCCCAAGCACCCCGGGTGGATGGGACTCGCAAGCCTTGGACGGCAACTCATCTAAGAGAAGGCAAACTCTCAATTCAAAATAGGAGTTAAAATGATCAATAAATTGATCGTGGGCCCTCTAATATGAAAATCAAATAGAATTAAAACGTGTCACATCTGATCACGTGTCAGTTCTTTACATCCGATCCCATGTCAGTGGGTGGACTTTCCATAAATTGCACTTTTAAATTTCGCACATATTCGTATTATTTCTGACTTAATCTACCATCCCAGTATTTGTTTACTTAATCAACCATCCCAATATTTGTTGACTTAATCAACCATCCTAGAATGTGTTGACTTAATCAAACACCCCAGTAATTGTTAACTTAATCAACCATCCCAGTATTCGTTGACTTAATCAACCATTCTAGTATTTGTTGATTTAATCAACCATCCTAGAATTTGTTGACTTAATCAACCATCCCAGTATTTGTTGACTTAATCAACCATCCCAGTATTTATTGACTTAATCAACCATCACATTTTTTGTTAACTTAACCAACCATCCCAGTATTTGTTGACTTAATCAACCATCCTAGTATTTGTTGACTTAATCAACATCCCATTATTTATTGACTTAATCAACCATCCCAGTATTTATTGACTTAATCAACCATCACATTTTTTGTTAACTTAACCAACCATCCCAGTATTTGTTGACTTAATCAACCATCCCAGTATTTGTTGACTTAATCAACCATCCCATTATTTATTGACTTAATCAACCATCCCAGTATTTGTTGACTTAATCAACCATCCCAGTATTTGTTGACTTAATCAACCATCCCAGTATTTGTGAACTTAATCAACCATCCTAGTATTTGTTGACTTAATCAACCATCCTAGTATTTGTTGACTTAATCAACCATCCCAGTATTTGTTGACTTAATCAACCATCCCATTATTTATTGACTTAATCAACCATCCCAGTATTTGTGAACTTAATCAACCATCCTAGTATTTGTTGACTTAATCAACCATCCTAGTATTTATTGACTTAATCAACCATCCCATTATTTGTTGACTTAATCAACCATCCCAGTATTTGTTGACTTAATCAACCATCCCAGTATTTGTTGACTTAATCAACCATCCCAGTATTTGTTGACTTAATCAACCATCCTAGTATTTGTTGACTTAATCAACCATCCCAGTATTTATTGACTTAATCAACCATCCTAGTATTTGTTGACTTAATCAACCATCCTAGTATTTGTTGACTTACTCAACCATCCTAGTATTTGTTGATTTAATCAACCATCCCAGTATTTATTGACTTAAGCAACCATCACATTTTTTGTTAACTTAACCAACCATCCCAGTATTTGTTGACTTAACAAACCACCCTAGTATTCGTTGATGTAATCAACCATCCCAGTATTTGTGAACTTAATCAACCATCCCAGTATTTGTGAACTTAATCAACCATCCCAGTATTTGTGAACTTAATCAACCATCCCAGTATTTGTGAACTTAATCAACCATCCCAGGATTTGTTGACTTAATCAACCATCCCATTATTTATTGACTTAATCAACCATCCCAGTATTTGTTGACTTAATCAACCATCCCATTATTTATTGACTTAATCAACCATCCCAGTATTTGTTGACTTAATCAACCATCCCAGTATTTGTTGACTTAATCAACCATCCCAGTATTTGTGAACTTAATCAACCATCCTAGTATTTGTTGACTTAATCAACCATCCTAGTATTTATTGACTTAATCAACCATCCCATTATTTATTGACTTAATCAACCATCCCAGTATTTGTTGACTTAATCAACCACCCTAGTATTTGTGAACGTAATCAACCATCCTAGTATTTGTTGACTTAATCAACCATCTCAGTATTTGTTGACTTAATCAACCATCCTAGTATTTGTTGACTTAATCAACCATCCCAGTATTTATTGACTTAATCAACCATCCTAGTATTTGTTGACTTAATCAACCTTCCTAGTATTTGTTGACTTACTCAACCATCCTAGTATTTGTTGATTTAATCAACCATCCCAGTATTTATTGACTTAATCAACCATCCTAGTATTTGTTGACTTAATCAACCATCCTAGTATTTGTTGACTTACTCAACCATCCTAGTATTTGTTGATTTAATCAACCATCCCAGTATTTATTGACTTAAGCAACCATCACATTTTTTGTTAACTTAAACAACCATCCCAGTATTTGTTGACTTAACAAACCACCCTAGTATTCGTTGATGTAATCAACCATCCCAGTATTTTTGAACTTAATCAACCATCCCAGTATTTGTGAACTTAATCAACCATCCCAGTATTTGTGAACTTAATCAACCATCCCAGTATTTGTTGACTTAATCAACCACCCTAGTATTTGTGAACTTAATCAACCATCCCAGTATTTGTTGACTTAATCAACCACCCTAGTATTTGTTGACTTAATCAACCATCCCAGTATTTATTGACTTAATCAACCATCCCAGTATTTATTGACTTAATCAACCATCACATTTTTTGTTAACTTAACCAACCATCCCAGTATTTGTTGACTTAATCAACCATCCCAGTATTTGTTGACTTAATCAACCATCCTAGTATTTGTTGACTTAATCAACCATCCCAGTATTTATTGACTTAATCAACCATCCTAGTATTTGTTGACTTAATCAACCATCCTAGTATTTGTTGACTTACTCAACCATCCTAGTATTTGTTGATTTAATCAACCATCCCAGTATTTATTGACTTAAGCAACCATCACATTTTTTGTTAACTTAACCAACCATCCCAGTATTTGTTGACTTAATCAACCATCCCAGTATTTGTGAACTTAATCAACCATCCCAGTATTTGTGAACTTAATCAACCATCCCAGTATTTGTTAACTTAATCAACCACCCTAGTATTTGTGAACTTAATCAACCATCCCAGTATTTGTGAACTTAATCAACCACCCTAGTATTTGTGAACTTAATCAACCATCCCAGTATTTGTTGACTTAATCAACCATCTCAGTATTTGTTGACTTAGTGTAATCTTAGCATCCCAGTTTTTGTTTACCTAATCAACCGTCCAAGTATTTGTTAACATTCATTAATCAAACCCAACCAGTGGGAGAGTTCCGCCTAAACACATTTGAAATTTGCGAGCCGCGAGAAACTGTGGCACTCGGGCAACAAGTTGATTCCAGCGCAGCAGAAACTGAGAGATGTTTTTTTTTGGTAGACGCGTGTCAAGAGCTAACTTAGGTGATTATTTTAATTTTGTACAGAAATACCAATGGAAAAAATCTGAACAATATGAACAGAAAATTTGCTCTCGAATGAAATAAATAAATAAATGTTTAACAAAACAATAATAATAATAATTCTTGATGAATATTTATTTTCCCACAGTATTTAAAGTAATGAAATGTCAGAAATATTCATTGCAAAACATAAAAATCACAAACGCATGAAATCATCGATAAAGGCACTGACATATGATAATATCAGCTATAACCTCACACAAGACCAGTAGCTCATGGCCGCAGCTTTCTTTAATTACCTCGTCCATTAGTGACACAGGCACGGGACTCACTCAATGACACGCTACTCAATCACAAACAAGGGACTCAATCACACGACACTTCCTTCAAGAGGTCTTCTTACCCACAGCTCAATATTAGGCTCAACATACCTGGACAGTACTTTCAGTGGTCACGCCAGCAGTGCGACAAAATGGGGGCACTATTGTTAGAGGCTTCACCAAATGCTAAAACTCAACAAAATGTATCATTTAGTTCGTAGAGTTAGTAGTTAGTTAAGCGTAGTCTGTCGTTAGAAAGCATACTACGACTAGTAAAACACTAGGACTTTCTTTGTTAAATTTTCACTGATTTGAAGAAACTATCCCCAAGCAAGGCCAAAACGTTTTCACTCCACATGATTTATGCATGGTGGTACATATGAATTAAGCGATTGCTGTATTTCTGTCTCAAGCCCTCCATTCAAACTCTCAAAATCCCAAGCTAGTGACAGCACAACTATACTTCATCAGTTCAGTAAAATGTACTCACCACTTGATTAATTATATTTCAAAGTTTTTGAGGGAAAAAACAGGAAAAAAAAGATGTGACACATCTGAGGAAAAAAAATAGACTAAAAACAACATGCACACATTTCACATCTAGCTAAATATGAAGTCTACTTGACTGATATAAAATTTATCGTCTTTTTTTTTTTTTTTTTTTTTTTTTTTTATTAAATTGCAATCCTTATCAATATGTACTCCAAAATTCCATGTCTTAAGAAACCAAAATGTACTAAAAGATTGACAAAAGAACAGGGTAGGGAAAAATTTTGGGGGATAGCACACAAAATGTAGCTGTCAGTTCCAATGAAATTGTTGGTAATATTTTTTTTTTTGGGGACCTTTTTTCCCAATAATAAAAAAGTTGAAGGGTTTAGATTTTAAAGACAAAATACATTTTCTTCTTTTAATAAACAAACTAAATTTGAAATTTTAACATTTAGTTTTGAAATTGTGGCTAATGTAATTACAAAAAAAAAAAAAAAAAAAAAAAAAAAAAAAAAATAAAAAACAAAAAAAAAAAAAAAAAAAAAAAAAAAAAAAAAAAAATAAAAATTCTTTTAATAAACAAACTAAATTTGAAATTTTAACATTTAGTTTTGAAATTGTGGCTAATGTAATTACAAAAAAAAAAAAAAAAAAAAAAAAAAAAAAAAAAAAAAAAAAAAAAAAAAAAAAAAAAAAAAAAAAAAAAAAAAAAAAAAAAAAAAAAAAAAAAAAAAAAAAAAATAAAAAAAAAAAAAAATTGATGATGCTAAAAAAGAAATAACAATATCAGTATAAATATAAACATAAGTATACAACAGAGCATGAGAAACATATTAATACAGGACGATCCTGTCATTGTGACATGGGTTACCGAAACCCTAGCAACAAGCACACATTTTTTCAATAATTATTAAAACCACACATATGAGCTTGCACCACAACCTCACCAAATGTTACTGTCACACACGGTGAATTTATATAAAATATGCCAATGATTACTTAATTTTTTACAAAAAAGATTATTTTAAGCAGCATGGTTCAATATTTTTTGTCTTAACCCAACGAGTGTTTAAAGGTGTTGGTTTTTGGAGGGTTCCACATCTATGCTCTGTGGTTGTTTATACACAGCTTTTTTTTTAAAAGGACCTCAAACATTATAAACAAAGAGAAACCAAGGGAGCAGTTTAGAAATATTTCACCACACAATAACAGTAGAGTTACAGTCAATGACTCATCAGGTCAATGTACACATCTGGAATGAGTCAGCATGACCTGACTTGGACATAGGTCAATAAAACATCAAAATGATGAGAAAGAATTATTACGCAATATACAACATTGTTTCTTTAATATCTGATCCCTTGCGATGTTTCAATGAATAAAAAAATTCAACGCTTTCTTTCACGCTGCACAGTCATTTCCTCAGGATGTCCAAATCACTTTGAAGTTGACCTTTGACACATGGACTTCCCTGACAATCACAGTTTGACCTTTGACATATGGACACTCACAGAGTTTGTATAAATGATCATTCATACCTTTTGTGATACATTTTGCAGCTACCCAAGTCAACCACCACATTCCCATTTTAACATCATGCATCAATAATGCCTAAAAAAAAAATTTTTTTAAAAGACACACAAAAGTACTATTATGTAGCGAAAACATGCAATTAAATGATAAACCAATGTAGGGGACTAAGCGTATGTTTATATGAAAGATAATCTACATAATGAGCTCACCGTTTGGTTGTGGAGATACACGTACAAATTTGATGATTTTCTTTTTTTTTGTACAATATTTTCTATGCATGATAATTTTTTTATCAACCAAGAAAAATATCAGATTATGAAAGCTGAACTGCATAAAAATGTATCTTGTCTGTGTGTAAGCAGTGCCTAAAATTATTGATGACACAGGACGTAAATAATAATGAACCCACCCATTAAACTAGTCATCTGTTTGTAATTTTTGTTGCAAAGACTCTACTGGTGGGCGGAGGAAAGAATTTCAACACAATGCAGAAAATTATGACTTTGGATTAGCAAAAAACATGATTAATAGTGTAGCATTGCTAAAAAAAAAGTGTATGGTTGAATTTTTTAAATAATGAAATACTATAAATATTTTATTTTAAGCATATGACATTGATAGAGGCAAAAAGATTAACTTGTTTTATTGCTGTTTTTATATTTAAAAAAAAAATGTATTGCATTTCAGGCATTTAAAAAAATAACAACTGATTCTTAGAGTGCTTAGGGCAGTGTACATATGCATGCCAATCAGATACTTAAGCTCGGGTGTCATTTTATTTATTCTAAGAAGTAAATACTTGCCAACATTTCATCAGTCCCATCTGGTCCGCATGACAAAACTTATCTCCCCTTTTCCTTCCTTGAACATGTTTCAAAATTTACAAATATTTACTATTTCTCAATTTATTTTTTAAAAACAAAAAAAGATTATGTTCAATCACACTAAGAATTTGTAAACTGCAATGGTTATCACAGCGACCATGTTTCCATTCAAGCTCATCAGACCGTACCATGGAACTTTCCCCCCATTTATGCTGTGCCTGCCTTCAGTTAGAAATGGCAGCTTGCACCAGGATAAATTTAAAGTCTCTATTTACATATTTGAGCTTGGATTTCAGTTCAAACAATATATTACAATGGACTGAATGAAGAACACACTCATCTTAAAACGACTCATCCATCCAGCTTTCTCCAAAACAAGAGAATAGTCTTTTTTTTGCCACCGGCTCATAAAAGAACATAATTACCCCCTGTTATTAATAAAAAAAATTTGGAAATATTAATAAACCTTCCTGTGTCAAGAAAATCAAGAATGAGTGTGTGAAATGATGAGCCAGCTTATGACGAAGTAAAATAAGAACAAAGGGTACATGGCAAGAACTTTTCTTCCCACAGGTTGACTTTCGGCAAGGAATGCAGTGGAAGCTGAAATTAGAACATTAAACATATTTAGCGTTAAAGATGTGTATTCAAAGGTAAACCAATGATTGAGTAAGTGAAATCTAGTCTTGATTTTTATCATAAATTTTTCTTTTTATTACCGTTTACGAGTTTTTCATTTACAGTTAAGAAATTTCCTAACCTTCTTGTTTATAAACATCCAAAGATCATTAAAAAAAATCATTTAGCCACTGTTAATTGTATGCAACAGACACATTTAAAAAAAAAGTAAATTTGCAAACTGCAGCAGCTACCAGCTTTGACAGCATCTATTGAGAAGCCATTTAGACTTCTGTCATTAACAACATATGAAACAAAGTAAATTTCATGCTTTCATATAATTTAGGAATGGAGGAGGATAGTTCACATGTCATCTGTAGCGCCCCAACGGTCCAAGGACTAAGGGACATGATGATGATGACGATGAACTATATCAGATGATGCATCCACCCGTATCAAGCATTAATAATTTTAAAGAAAACACTAACATTCAAACATTAATAATTTTAATGAAAAAAATTAACATTCAAATAATAATTTTAATGAAAAAACCAACACACTAATTTATTTTAAAAATGTGATGTTAATGTTCAAATTTGTGTACCCCTTTTAAGTTGAGTTATTTGAAGTTAACATTTGAAAAGGATATCGAATTCATTATCCTTAAAAGGAATTAACACCACTTCTAAAATCTATTCCCCAATAACTTCTTGATGTACTCACCAAATGTGGACCAGCCAAAGCCAAGAACTACAGACAGAAATCTCACAACAAACCAAGCTATAGATTCTGTGCTGATGCTCAAGAGAATGCGACACACAATTAAGGAAATAGCTAGCGGACAGACACAGTATCCAAGAACGCAGATGCTTTGAAAAAATGATCTGTGAAAAATAAAATTAACATTTAATTTAAAAAAAAAAAAAAATAATAATAATAAATATGTAATTAAATTAAATTTGAACAGCTGTAATGAAAATAATAATTTCTAGCAATGTTGTCAGCTCTAGAGTTTACTGCCACATAGGAAGCCACTCACATGTTGCCCCCTAACAACTTGATGTTCAGTGTCACCACACTGGCCCCCAGCCAATAAATAACAAAAACTTCAGCAAACTGAGGACCCCCATCATTGTGTCCCATCATATTTAGGTCATCTGTTGAGCCTTGCAACATACTGGAATGAAGTAGAACAGAATCATACAAAGCAACTGAGAATAGGGAGATGACCTTAATAGTGTCACATGATTAATAGATATTACTGTTTCTGGAATAAAAATCATTATCGAGTTATAAGAGGAAATTATGAAGATATTTCATAAAAAAACGTTTGAACACTAATACTATTTGAAAGGAAAATGTAACCTTCTTTTTTATAGTAAATTTTACTTACATTGCTAGGAAAGTACACAAAACAAGAGGTCCCCATAGGTCCCCTGTAATTTATAAATGATTACATAAATACTACAATTAATCACTAAAACAATGATAATTATAAGAACTTATTTTTCATTTGTTTGTCCAGTTAGCCATTTCAGGAACCATGGTTTTAAGATCGAACCATTCTAAAAATGAACCATACCATAATAAGCAAAAGACATAGCTGTTTCATGCACACTGTTTAACATACAGACAAGTTATTAAAGTGTGAAGAGTTGTTAATAAACTACTAACAGGTACCAAGTAGTTTAATGACAGAGACACAGAAAGAACTTACATTCCTTTAAAAGGACTCTACTCTTTTTAGGTACCAAAACATGAACAAATTTATTTCCAACAGCTTTGAGATCCCTCAACTATTTAAAACAAAGTAAAATTGAAACATATAATTATAATCATTTCCAACTAGTTAGTTAAAAAAAAAAAAATAGCAAAAATACCAATTTGCAATAAATAATTCAAATACGCAAGTTTTGCATGTGGCATTAAAAATATTAAATATCTATATAAATAACTACTATGCTTACTATGGTCTCCTTCACAGGTTCATCCAATGTGGACAACTCATCATCTGACCTAGCTGCTCCTGGAACTTCAATTTCTCCCTCCAGAGGGACATCAACAACCTAACAAATTATGGTGCAAGGTTAGTAATGATGGCTTATCAATGTAAATGGGTCAACAAAATGCATGTGTGGAGCATTGAGATATGGGAGGACCTAGGTCTAGGCGTAATTACAAATAGGGGCCAACCATAAAATGATGTAATACCATGGCAGATTTTGTATTCTTACTCTCCAATTATCAGAATTTATTTTTTCAACATTAAGATACCCTCATCACAGAATTATGATTAACCCCCCACCACCCACCCTCCCCATGTGTGAAGTTATTTATGGATGGCATCATACTAATATTATGAATAGTGAATCACTCTAAGTCTATGTCTACAATGTCATAATTTAATGTAAAATAATTAACCCTTAATTAGCATTATAAAAGTCTTTAGGCCTAAATAAAAGACATTGTCCCTTTGTCCCTGAGTTCATTATCATACCAATAATCTGAATAATTAAATTATTAAATCCATTTTAGATAGGCCCTAGCCCTGAACTGCTGATATTGGGATAGTGATATGCATTAAAGTTGACTCCTAATTAATAAAAGAATTAAAAGTTGCTGGATTAGGGCCAGAATACATACAGAATAGGCCTACAATAGGTTGTAATTATTAATTCAGATAACCCGATACATACATAATATATATCCAATTTTTGTAGGTCACCTACTGGGATATATATTGTAATATTCAGGCCTATGAGTGATCAATATTTTTTAATTAGTTTAAGGTTAGAGCTTAGTTCAGTCATGTACACAATTTCCTCAGTCTTCAGTTATAGTTATTTTTTAATACCCATTTAAATTTTTTTTTCCATCAAATTAGTTTATAAAAGTGACTGGGTGGGGGGAGTTGAAAGCTTTGAATAATTAATTGCTGCTTCCCATGGCTCAAACAATATGTTATTCTGTCGATGTGCATGAGTCATGAGCTATACGATCAACATTACCTGTTTCCACCTTTCCGACAAAACCATGCCATTGTAACCAGAAATATTGTTTAAATTGTTTAAAATAATTTTTTTTTCCCTTCATTTTTACACTTTCCAGTTGTCACTAGTGATAAATAGCCAATGTGGAGAGCTGAAGTTTAGTGATACTCGAGGAAGGGAGCGACAACAGGTTGGTCGTTGACATTTCTTGCCACAGTATAAAGTAGAGGGATAAAATAAGGTTGCTAGTTTCAACACAAAATTAATTAACTGGCTGAAATTACATATATCTAAAATTTAAAGGCCACTAAAGTCATTACAGTTACAGGAATAGAAGAAATTAGTACCTTCCCCACGAAATTTATGTTTTGGTGTGCTACCAATCGCGTAAACTGCTTAGGGCGCGTCTCGCCCTACCCGCGCCCTACCCATCACCGGCCTCAATTTTTTTTTTATTTAGCCTAAAAAATTAAACAATCTTTGAGCCCAATGGGCAATCTTTTAATTATTTAATTCAAAACATTTTAAAACATGACTCATGATAATGATACTGATTACAATTACATGATGTACGATTCATGCAACATTTAAGTAGCTATGCCTAAATTCTAAGTTGATATAGAATTTGTAGAGAATAAACAGCAGTTGGTTAAATCTAACAATCAATATATTTTAAAAAATAAATAGCTATTTTTTGGAAATAAAAATATTGTTTATTACAATGTTTACCTCGTCATGAAACTCCACGTCAGCCATTTTTGTTGTGCAAAAACGGTGTTGCCTTAATATTTACACTTCCCTAACTTTTCTCGCATAAGAATCGATTAAATACTTGAAACGAACATATATGTCAGTTACAGAAGAGTTTACATTAAATATATAAGATGTTTCATTAATTTTTTTTTAAAAATCAGTTTAATTAAAGCTGGGACATACGTTTTATTTAATATCTTTTAAGAAGAATGAAATTTAATTTCGAATGAGATGGGTTTAAAGTACCCCTACCTTGCCCCGCAAATCTTGCCTTCCTTTTGCTCCTCAAAGATAAGCCCAATGGTTTCTAAATTACTCCATTAACTGCAATATTTGTTAACTACCGTCATTCACTCGCTCGGACATTTGCTAACAAAAGACTCTAATCCATGTAAAACCGGTTCTACACCTTAAAAAAGTGCCGACAGGCAAAGGGAGACAACCATTAAATTTGCTTTAGTTCCTTTGCGGACACGGACCTTCCATAGTGGCGCGCCTGATGGTGCAAAAGTGACAGCCTGGGCGTGTTTTTTTTTGTTTTTTTTGTCTTTGTTTAAATATAAGTATAAAAATAATATAAATGCTGTGCGTTTGTTAGGAGCGTATTTTTTTGAGTTCGACCCGGGTCTAAATTGTGAGTACACTCACTCACTAAGTTAATATGTGGTTACATTGCTTCAATGGGGCCTTAGTTTTATTTAATTTTTTTTGAGGTGGGGTTGATACTAAATATCTGGAACACGCAAATTCATGGTTATAAAGTTGTTTAATCATAATACTCAAAATAGCGATAATTCATAACGTGTTATAGAACTTGTAGTTACACAAGAGGTGGATCAAGTTTTATTCCTTACTATAGGGCCTACGTAACATGCGTTACGCCAAAGTAAAATTCTCGTCGCTGAACATTTTCTCTTATTTACCATTACTTACTTATATTTACTCTCATTTACTCATATTTACTCTTACCTACTTTTAATTACTACTGATTACTCTTATTTAATAATATTTTCTCTTACTCACTCTTATTTACTATTACTCTCTCATATTTACTCTTACTGTTAATTACATTTTACTCTTACTAACTCTTATTTAATATTACCTATGCATATTTACTCTGACTTACTCTTAGTTACTAGTACTTACGCTTACTTAGCCTACTCTTATTTTCTATGACATACTCTTATTTACCATTACTTACACTTATTTACTCTTGCCATTCACTCGCTCAGAAATTTGCTATTGTCTTAACACTGATAACCATACGCATTAAAATAATTTTATCATATAAATACAATTTTTGTTTTCTTGATATGTTTTTAAACCTTGCATTGACAGCATTGACAAATTTTGCTGGTTTATAAGGATAAAATGGCGTACCTACCCTAAGTGCCGCCCGGGGCAGACAAAGATTTTTGACACCCCCTTCCACGAAGAAATCTGCCCTGCAGTTAGCCCAAATGCCGCCCCTGAATATAAAGACGAAGCCGCCCGGGGTAGACAGCCCCCCCCCCCCCACCCTCTGTCCTACACCAGTGATATTTTTTTCCACGGTGTCAAAATCATCAAGATTCTTTTGTCAATAAATAAAGATTTTTGACCCCCCCTTCCACGAAGAAATCTGCCCTGCAGTTAGCCCAAATGCCGCCCCTGAATATAAAGACGAAGCCGCCCGGGGTAGACAGCCCCCCCCCCCCCCACCCTCTGTCCTACACCAGTGATATTTTTTTCCACGGTGTCAAAATCATCAAGATTCTTTTGTCAATAAAACTTCAGGTGCCATTGCTTTGTGTGATAGCATCGCGTTGTCATTCTGACTTCAGCTGTCACTGCTTTGTGTGATAGCATCGCGTTGTCATTCTGACGTCAGCTGTCATTGCCTTGTGTGATAGCATCGCCATGTCAATCTGACTTCAGCATGCTACCATTGCTTTGTGTAGTGTCATTGCCTTTGGTATGTATTTTTCTGACTGTGGGCCCCGTAGACAACCGAGCAAAAGATTTCTGTGTTATTTCCAACAATTACAAACGTTGACCGGAGGTCTATCTCATTCAAGAGATCCAATGTTAAGGACATGTCGACAGGTTTCAAAGCCAAAGGTTGTTTCAATAACTAATAAATAGCTACTATGGCTTAACCGGGTTCAGTTGTGTTGTTTTGTTTTTTTTACACCGGGTACGGGTATTTTGAGAAAATATATATACTATAAGACAGGCCTGCACAACTCAAAATGTAAGGTGGTCCGTAAAACATTATGAAAGAAAATACGACAGGACTTGTGTGGGCCAAAAGAATATAGGTCAGGTGGAAAGCTATTAAGAAAATAAGAATAAAGAGTGATCTTGTGACCTGAGCATTACTTAATATTTTAGACCTCTGTTTTAGTGTATAAATATAAATATAATTTATTCAAGGACAGATTGGTGAAAAGCAAATATTTGTGTGTGTGTTTTAAATATTAGAATTTTAAATATTTGCCAAGAAACAAATAATAGTATGATGAAAATCGGTGCATAGGCCTCAACCAAAAAAAAAAATATATTGTTAAGAATAAACATGAGTTAGTTCTGATAGTCTGTACACTTACGTCATCTGTCATTTTTACTCAGTGGGGTCTGCTTCAAACAAATAAAATTTTTGCTATGGGTGGCAGGGGCGACATTTCAGGTTTTTCCAGAAAAATGGTGGGGTGGGGGGCGCAAAAAACAAAATTTGGTTGGCTTGTTAAGCTGTTTATTACCGAAGGGCGCCACAGTACATAGCAATTTAAATAAAACCTGCAAATTCACGAAAAGGGGGGGGGGGGGGAAAATGCCCCCACCCTCCCCTCCCCAAAGGACGCCCCTGAGGCGTTGGGGAAAATAGGGTTCCCTTTCACAGGTCTGGTGATGGAATTTGAAGACCCATACAACTTTTGTTTATTACCGAAGGGCGCCACAGTACATAGCAATTTAAATAAAACCTGCAAATTCACGAAAAGGGGGGGGGGGGAGAAAATGCCCCCACCCTGCCCTACCCAAATGACGTCCCTGAGGCGTTGGTGAAAATAGTGTTCCCATTCACAAGTCTAGTGATGGAATTTGAAGACCCATACAACTTTGAGCGACATCAACAACAAATTAAATAAAGAATAAATTTAAAGTAGATACGAAATGTAAATACATATTAAAAAATAAAAGAGTTTCAAATATATCTATATATATATCCTTACATTTGAGAATTCTTTTTTACCTGGTTGAGACTTATTAACCCTCTAATTTTAAAACATGATCAGAAAGCCCACACGTAGGCCTAGGCCTATGTTGAGTATTAGGCCTAGGCCTATATTGGGTATTAGGCCCAGGCCTATGTTGGGTATTAGGCCTAGGTCTATCTTGGGTATTAGGCCTAGGCCTATGTTGGGTATTAGACCTAGGCCTATGCTGGGTATTATGCCTAGGCCTATTTTTGAGACTTTCCTTACAATCGTCGTCTTTATTTGTTTCGCTCTGTCGAAAACGTGAGCTGTCATAATGGGGTCACGTGGTGCCATCAATTGCACCACGGCTTTACTACCCATTGTAATGACTAAATCACAAAGGGAACACACCCAGTCAAAGGCTTACGCGCCTTCAGATAAATTGCCTCCCTTGTCTGTCGGTTCCTTGTAACGATAACAATCTAAACAAAAATAAACAAACAGTCCTAATCCGTGTTTCTTTTAGGCCTCGCTCCATTTCGAGGGGAGGGCGGGGGACGACGCCCCCCTCCATACACCCCTAGGAAGTCAAGTGCCTCCCCTACTCCCCCCCCCCAGGATAAAAATGAGCATAAAAATTAATCTTAAACGTAAAACTATAAACCTATTAAAAGCGACACTAAATCTTTATTTCAGAACATTTGAAAAACTTTGTAGTTAATGGTAGGCCTAACTGTCACCGATTAAATTTAGTAAAATACTGCAACCAAATTTTGAGTTTGGGGAAGTATCTGATTATACGATTATTTAAGACAAATCTAGATATAGTAATCGATTCCAAATATTTTAAATCTTGGTTGTTTTTTTTAAAAAATTCAGATTAAACCTACCCAACTCTACCCAAATGTTTATACCTCTAACATTTTGAAATAGTTCTTGCTAAAAATATGTATCCAGTGGCTGAAAATGAAAATGTACAATGTAATTTAAAAAAAAAATGTCCATTTATTTAGATTAAAAAAAACCCCAATAAGTTGTATCTTATCTTAATTATCAAATATTGATAATTTGTTTAAAATATCTACTTCTGAATAAAAATGTGATCAACATTATGTAAAATAGGCTGGGCTATAAATATCATAATGATGTTTTAAAAAAATATATTGTAGTTAATTACACGAGATTTGAGCTGGGTAAAAATGAAAAAAAACCAAAAAACTATACATTTTTTAACAAATTAAGATTTATCGGGCGCATGCTAGCAGGCTACTATACTTTGTCTCCATCTTCAAATGGCTTTGCTGTCGAAAGTTTTTTTTGTTTTGTTTTTTTGATGCAGCATTGATCACTTCTTCAGGTTTTCCTCAACCCTTTATATTTCTTAATCCATTCTAGGTCTAATACTAACGGTGCAATCATTGACCAATCATTTTTTAATCGAAATCGCTGGCATTTTGCTGACATTTGTTACTTTTTGTGATGACATATTTAACTGGATGACAGAGCACAAATACATTTTAAATGCACGCAGATACCAATATCAATTTATTAAATTCTTTTCTCTTTTTGTTATTAGACCAATTTACAATATATATCTATAGATATATGATGTCTAATTATTCTAATGATAAAAAGAGAAAAATCTCCCACCCCCAACACCTCGGATAAAATTCTCTAAAAGAAACACTGGTCCTCATTATAGAATATAGGATAGGGGATATAACGGTATATGTGACAGTGGGTGTGGCTGTGGATATGACTGTGGATGTGACTGTGGATGTGACTGGATGTGACTGTGGATGTGACTGTGGATGTGACTGTGGATGTGACTGTGG